GCCCCCTTGCCTAAGTATTGGAGCGAGCTGATTATCCCAGCTCGTGAGCTGGGATAGACTTAGCTTGGAGTGTTCCCTTTCAGCATACTGGGATCCTTGAGCTCGCGCTATAGCGAGCTTGTTCCGTGGCGAGTTGACCTGCGAGGACTTTAACAAGTTCGTTACTCAGTTGTAGCCATGCTGTCATGCTGAGCTGTTACTTATGTTGAGTCATGTCCACGTGTCGCCTTCTTAGGAGGTCGGGTCAAATCACCCTCCATCAAACCCCATTCTTACTGATGCCTCATAAACCACTTTAGAAGTCTCTGGTTTGGTTAATGAATCTGCAAGATTCTTTTCAAACCTTACAAAGTCCAAAGCAATTGTACCTTCATCATAGTATTGTTTTACCAGGTTATGCCTTAAGCGAATGTGCCTTCTTTTACCATTGTACGTCTAGTTCTTAGCTCTGGCTATTGCTACTTGGCTATCACAATGGAGAGATATGGATGGAATCAGCCGTAACCAAAGTAGTATATTTGCCAGTAAGTTCCTTGTCCACTCTGCCTTGGACCCTGCCGATTCTAGTACAATAAACTCGGCCTCCATTGTTGAACTTGTATTACATGACTGCTTTACCAATTTCCACGATACTGTTCATCCACCTAGAGTAAACACATATCCACTGGTGAAAGTACTATACTTTAAATTTGAAATCCAATTTGCATCAGTAAAGCCTTCTAAAATGGGAGGAAAACCTGAGTAGTGTAAACCAAAATTTACAGTTCTTTTTTAATATTTTAATAATTTTACTAGAGCTTCCTAATGTTCATTTTCGAGATTATGAGTATGTTGACTTAATTTTCCCATAACTATAGCTATGTTTGGTCTTATGCAATTCATTAAGTAAGATATAGATCCAATTATACTTGCATACTATTTTTGTGAAATAGGTTCTCTTACATGTTTTCTTAAGTGAATACTATAGTCAATAGGTGTTTTAACCGGATTACAATCATAGTGTCTAAATTTCCTAAGAATACTTTCTACATAGTGTGATTGGGAGAGAATAAAATTTTCTTGTTGTTTATGAATTTTATTCCCCAAGATTACATCAGCCTCACCCAAGTCTTTGGTATCAAATTTGGACATTAGAAATTGTTTTGTTTCTTTTACTACCTCTAGACTTGTTCTCATTATTAGCATATTATCAACATATAAACAAATCATGACTCCTTTATCATTTTCAAAGTTGCCATAGATGTATCTATTAGAATCATTTTTGTAGTATCCATTAGTTAGTAACACATTATCAAATTTTTCATGCCATTGTTTGGAAGCTTATTTTAAGCTACACAGAGACTTAATTAGTTTACATACTTTATTTTCTTGTCCTGGCAATATGAAGCCTTCAGGTTGCTTAATATATATTTCTTCTTCTAATTCCCTATTTAAGAAAGTTGTTTTCACATCCATTTGATGAAATACTAGTTTGTAAATGGATGCTATAGCAAACAAAACTATAATTGTAGTTAACCTCGCAACCGGGGAGTAGGTGCCAAAGAAGCCTACATCTTTCTTTTCTCTAAACCTTTTAGCAACTAATCTAGTTTTGAATTTATCTATTGTACCATATGGTTATAATTTTTTCTTAAAAATCCATTTACATCTAGTGCCTTAGTTCTAGTTGGGAGATCTACAAGTTCCCAAGTGTGATTAGTGACTAAAGAATCTATCTCACTCTTTATGGTTTTTTTCCAAAATACTGCTTTAGGTGAAGTTACGACTTCTTGATAAGTTATTGGGTCCTTGTTCACTAGAAATGTGAACATTCCGTCACCCAAGTTTGTTTATTTCCTTTGTCTTTTACTTCTCCTTAGGTCTAGTTCTTGATTCCTAGAATCGGATTTGTCTTGACTAAGAGAAGTACTGATTCCTTGAGCACTTAAATGTTCTTGGTTTCTGTTTTGGATTTGGGAAGATTCCCCATTTATTGTTTCTTTTCTCCAAGGAAAGATATGTTGAAAGAACCCTGCATCTCAGAACTCTATTATTGTGTTGTTTTCTACAACATTATCAATTGTTTTAATCACAAGGAACCGATAAGCTGCATTATTTTGTGCATATCCATTGAACACACAGTCACAAGTTTTCAGTCCTAATTTCTTTCTTTTAGGTTCAGGTATTCCAACCTTTTCTAGGCAGCCCCAAACTTTTAGGTAGTTCAAACTAGGTTTTCTATTATGCCAAAGTTCAAAAATTATTTGTTCTTTCTTATTCGGTGGTATTCTATTATATAAGTGACAAGACGTTAGGATTTATTCCCCCCACAAATTCAGATGTGCACCTGAACTAATTAGCAATCCATTCATCATTTCTTTTAGTGTTCTGTTAAGTCTTTCTGCAACTCCATTAGATTCAGGTTGATAGGGAGCTATGGTTTCAAGTATGATTCTATTTTATTCAAAGAATTTCTAATGGTTTGTCCATCATATTCAGTCCCTCTATCTGTTCTAACTCTTTTAATTTTCTTTCTTAACTAGTTTTTTATTTCAATTTTGTAGTTTACAAAAGTTTGATCAACCTCATCTTTTGATCTAAGTAGAACTACTTTTGCATCATCTGTAAATGTTATGTACTATCTTTTTCCTCCTCTAGCTTGATGACAGTTAATATTAGAAATATTCAGTAACAATCCTCTAGCATTATATCATTTTCCAATAAAAACATTATTTTTAATTAACACACCCTTGTCTTCTTCAAAAGTGAACTTCAGTCCTACTTTGTTGAGGAGTGCTCCCGATACTAAGTTTCATCGGATCTCTGGCACATGTAGCACATCATTTAGCATTAGAATTTTCCCTGAAGTCATTTTCAAGAGCACCTTTCCTTTGCTGATGACTTTCGAAGTTTGTGAGTTTTCCATGAAGACTTTATCTCCCTTAGACTGTGTTTTATACTCATAGATGGAGCTACTGTCCCCACATACGTGCTTGGTAGCACCAGTGTCCAGTACCCGCTCCTTCGACTTGTCAACTAAGTTTGCCTCAGTTACCATGGCTGCGATTACATCCTGAATTAAATTGACCTTTGGTTTCTTAGAGTCCTTCTTTCGGTACTGACAATCCTTGTAATGTCTGGGTTTGCCACATACATAGCAATTTTCTTTCTTTTGTTGCTTCTTGAATTTTTGATCATTTTTCACATTTAGATTCCTTTTGAATTTTGTAGCCTTTTCCTCAACCAGATTGGTTTTGGAAAACTGATCCTCATCATTCTTTCTGTTTTTTTCTTCTATCTTAATTCGGACCACTACTTGGTCCAAAGTAGTGTCATTCCTCTTATGCTTCATACTAGTCTTGAAATCATTCCATGTAGAGGTGTAAATCCCGCGGCTCGGCACAATTTTGGACCGGCTCGACACGGTACGACACGACAGTCCATGGGTCATGCCAAGCCTAGTATGATCGCTGCGCCATGCTGGGCCTGGGGTTTGAAGTCCAAAAGCCGACACGACATGACACAATCAAGCAGGTCGTGCTGCTATATATATATATACATAATACTTATATATTTTATATATTTATATATAATATATTATATAAATTATAATAATATAATAATATATAATATATAATAAATTAATAAAATAAACATTTTTTAAATTTTATTATACTAATTTATTTAATTATTGTATATATAAACAATTGTATACATCAAAATTCATATAAAATTAAAATTTTAAGTTTTCTTCAATTTTTTTAAATAAATAGGAAAAAATAGCTTTGGCTCGGTCCATGGCTCGACTTGGGCCAAGGCTTGGCCCACGGGCTAGCCTGGCCTGCGGGAAGGGCAACACAACCCGTGACAGCCCGCACTTTGCGTGGGCCGTGCCGATCCACTTTACACCTCCGATTCCATGTATGTGGTAGTTTCTCTATGAGAGAACCAGTAATGAATTCATCTAGCAGTATCATGCCTTCTTTTGCTAGTTCCCCCATAAGAACTTGAAATTCAATTATTTGGGCAGACACGTCCATGTCTTCTTTTATGGTGAAGTGCAGGAAGTTGGCAATTACATATTTCTTATTTCCAGCATTTTCTAGAGCACACTTATTGGCCAAAGCATTCCAAATTTCATAGGCATAATTGTAGGAAGAGTAGACATTATACAGTTCATTAGACAAGCAGTTGAGGATATGGTTGATGTAGAGGTGGTCGGCTGTTTTCTAGTGTTCTGCAACAACAGAACGGGCTAGTTCCTCCATGTTTAATGGGTTCGGTTCAGTCAAACCAAAGGTTACCCCTTACTGCTCTAAGGGCGTTGTCTCCAAAGCCCCCTCCCAATTAGACACGTGTCATCCCATTTTTACAGGAAATAGAATTTCAATTCAATTGCCCATTTTCCCATTTTTATAGGAAATAGAATTCAAATTCAACTACCCACGTTTTTAGGAAATAGTAATTCAATTCCTTCATGGGTAAGCACACGTTGCTTACTTTTAGGAAAACAAAAAATGTTAGCACGTTGCTTTCTCTTTGAATCAATAATTACCTTAATTCAATTAATTTAATTGAATTAATTAATTCATTTACATAAGTAACTCCTTTTCCTTACCTTTTCCTTCGTAACAAACATAGCCTAAAAAAAGGACGAGGAAAAGAAAATAAGGAAAGTTATAGTTAAAGTCAAAACACGAACTCAAGTCTGTCAAGATCCTCCCGCCAAAAAGGCAAAACACCGAGTCAGCCGTCTCCGGTTCGAACGGTGCGGACAGTGGGCCAAGACCACGTCATTCCAATACGTGGGCCCTTAGTTTACGAAGCTGACGTTGTGAGCTCAGTGTTTAGTACTAGGATTCGAAATGATTGGAAACGTGGGGGTGGTCAGACATCATCGTTGCTCGTTGCCCGTTGCCTCCCGACTCCTGAGTCCTGATACAAAACCCAAACGCTTCATCAAAATAAATAATACACGATTTCAATCAAACTTGAAAATATAAAGAACTCGGGTTGTTAGCCAAATGCATTCTTCAAGCTTATTCTCCTGATCTCCCCCTTCTTTTTATCCGGCCGAAGCGCCACAATCTCCTCTATTGCCATTTTCCCTGATAAAATTCCTTTTCAAATTCGTTTTTCCCATTCTTTTTTTTCGTTTTTGTTTTCTGAGAACGAGGGGAGAACATGGACAATTTGATCTCTTTGGTGAACAAGTTGCAGAGGGCTTGTACGGCTCTGGGAGACCATGGTGAAGAGAGTGCATTGCCGACTTTATGGGATTCGTTGCCGGCAATCGCTGTCGTCGGAGGACAGGTCAGCTCGACCCCCCTCTCTCTAGTCTCATTTTAAAGTATCTGTCGGTTGATTTTATTTTCGTCGATATTGAAGGATCTATCTGGGTTAGATGCATTGTTTTGTTCGTTTGAATATTCTTGTTTTCTTATGCGGAATCTAGCCGAACGTTAAGCTTTCTTCTTTTATATTCTCAAATACTTCAATTTGTTGAGTTCATGGTTTGCACTGATTCAGGTTGCATGTTTTTATTGAGTTCTAATTTATCGATAACTTTTGTATTGAATATCTTGACTGTATCACGTGGCGGAATTATAGGTTTTGGTAACTGCAGTGTGTTTGTTGTATCCGCAAGAGGATCAAATTTGAACTATGTTTACAAGGTCATGCCCTTAACTTTTTGAAGTTGCGTCCTTAGGTTAACGAATCCCTGGTTACTAGTCCTATGACCCTGTGTAGAGACATAATCGCATAATTCAAATTCGATCCTCTTGAAGGTAATTTTTGCTCTAGTTCCTGTAAAGTAGATATCACTTGTAAAACTTTGTAGTAAGTGGTAACATGGTAAGCCCTGAAAGATGAAATTTGAGGAATAGTTTGTTCTGATATTTTGGAGTCGGATGTTAACCTCACCTGTTGTATATCTGTCATATTCCATTCTGTTCCATGGCCAACACATCTAGGTTTTTTTTTTTTTTTTCAAATTCTCTGTTCACTTGAACCGAATGCTAAATGCGAAGTGGTTTTATTTTTTCCTAATATGGAATAATGGAAGTGCAACTTAAGGTATTTATAGTCATGTACCAAAGATGTGTGGTTGTCTTCTCACAATTACACTGTTAAAACTAGTATTCAGGAAGGATGGTTGTTGTAATTTTCCCGTATACTACTAATTAATGGCACATAATAAAGCTATTCTTTCTACCAAACCCCTTGCATCTGTCCCTCCCCAAACCCCGCATTGGTGGGAGCCTAGCCTCATGCACTGGGCTGCCCTTTATATATTTACTTTCTTCTTATGCTTCTGTAACATTCTCTAGAGCTCTGGTAAGTCTTCAGTGTTGGAGAGCATTGTTGGAAAGGACTTCTTGCCCCGTGGATCTGGTAATTTGTTGTCCTATTACTTTACTTTTATCATGTATCACTTCATTTACAATTAGTGAGTTAATTTTCTCAGTCCTTTTGCAACTTCTTCATTTTCATATACACTTTTTCTTTGGTCTCTTAAATGCTAGAGAAATGATACAAACAAAACTTTATGCAGGAATTGTTACTCGGCGTCCCCTTGTCTTACAGCTTCATAAAATAGATGAAGGAAGAGAGTATGCAGAGTTCCTTCACCTCTCAAGAAAGAGGTTCACTGATTTTGGTAATTGTTATTTTTTTTTTGGAAGCAAAGTAGTGCATTCATATTTTTGCCTTTTAAACATTCTTATTTGTGTAGCCAATAGCTAATATTTTCAATTTCTGACTTAAGGCTATGTTTGGCTTGAAGGAAAAGGTAGGGTACGGAAGGGAAAGACAGGAAAACCAATACAAGATTTGTAAAGGTCTCCCTACCTTTCCCTTCCTTTCCCTACATTTTCCTTCAAACCAAACATAGCCTAAGTGTTTCATAGTACTAGTTTCTGTTTTGGTAATACTATATCTTTCTCTAGTGCATGTAACATCTTTGTTTTACCATCTATTATCTTTTTGCCTCATATGTACTATTAATGATCTTCATGTAGCTGCTGTAAGGAAGGAGATCTCAGATGAGACAGATAGAGAAACAGGGCGCAGCAAACAGGTCTCCAGTGTTCCTATCCATCTCAGTATCTATTCTCCTAATGGTGAGACATGGGTTTTCTCCCTTTCTCCTTTTCTTCTTCTTTTCTTTCTTTCTGGGGCCACAATCCCTAGTTTCTTGAAGATGGTCACACTGTCTATCTTTGCTGCCAAAATCAGAATACAATTAAATTATTAGTGTTGAAGTTTGACCTGCCATAGAATTCTGTCTTGTTCGTTGACTGTAGAGTAAAGTAGACAGCAAGAAGTAGGAGAGGAAAGAAGAAAAGAGAGAAGAGAGAAAAGAGAGAAAGGCTGGTTCGAATTAGGGAAAAAAGTTAATCCCTTGATTCGGCCAGACCTGTTATTATATTATTAACTTATTGGAAAAGA